ACAAGGACAAATCTCCCAAAGTAGCATTAGTGGAACAGGCCAGCTGTAGATGACACACAGACTGTGATGCAACTTAGGAGAATTCTAAAGATGCCTAGACCTTAAGGTCTAAAAATATAAAAAATAGTGCAGAGCACAAAAATCAATTCCTAATTTTAGTAGTGTTTGCCTCTGGAGAAAGAATGGGACTGGGGTTGGGGAACACATGTTATTTATGTTTTACTGTGTGTGTGTGTGTGTGTGTGTGTGTGTGTGTGTGTGTGTGTGTGTATTCTGAAGCAAACATCACAAAATGTTAACAAATTTTCACTTCTGTGTAATATGTACTGGATATTTCCAATATTATTCTGTAAATGTTCTAATATTTTTTATATTTCTCAAAAGAAAAATGAGACATTCATGAATTAAAACATTTTATGATTCATTTTAAAAAGATTAATGGAATGACCCAACTATAAATAAAATTGCTATATATAAAAATTAAATGAAATTAGAACAATTATTAGAAAAAGGAAAAATTTAAATGTTAAAATTGACATGAGACATGAAAATGTTTGGTTTTTTAAAAACATTATTAGAGTATTCATTTGGTTTTTAATTTTACCTAATCAACATTCCTTGAAGAAAAAAAAATTTTTTTTAAGATTTTATTGGGGAATTGGGGGAGGGGAACTGTGTTGGGGAAACTGGGAAGGGGAACAGACAAGTTGCTATCCTTTTCTTCTTCAGTCTAGTTGTGGAGGACGTCACTTCACTGGCCCATGTTGGTTTTGTGATCATTGTGCTCTTCCCAGGTGAGGCAGATTGGTCGCCGGCCATTGCACAGCCGCTCAGTGCAGCTCTTGACAGCTCATGTTGGCTGCTGGCCGCTCACGGTAGCTCACAGCAGCCCACTGCAGCCACACTGCAGCCTACGCCATCGCCGGCAACTCACAACAGCCCAGCTCCAGGTTGAGCTGTTGTTCACCATCTTAGCTGTAGAGGGCGCAGCGTCACTGGCCCTCATGTGGGATCTGAACCGGGGCGCTGCTGCTCAGAACTGGTGTCCCAAGCCAACTCTTAACCACTGGGTCACTTGGTCGGCCCCATTCCTTGAAATTAAGGTGACTTTTTTTTACCGCTAACTTGAATGAAGCTCTACGTATCCCAGGCAGAAAAGCAGCTTGAATACAGAAATCTTTTCTAAGGTGTTCAACCTGCCTTTAACACACTAGGCCTGGAACTTTAATGAACAGCTAGAAAAATGTGCTTGCTTCAATAGCACAGGTACCAAAAACAGAACCCTAGATTCCTAAGAAATGCTTACAATGTGCAGTTCAGAATGTCATCTGCAAGTGGTTCCTCTATCACCATCCCGTGCTTGGTGGCCACCTTCATAGACCTGAAGAAAGCACCATCACTCTGGGCTGAGCTCATCTCTGTCATGTTCATGTTCCCCCCACCAGAACTGAACTTACCTGCAATTCACTTCCAGGGCAGTCACCTGATGTTGCCATAGTTCTCTTAGGATGTGCCGCATAGCTGCCACTTTTAATGTTTCATTTTCCTCTCCAATTCTGCTTTAAAAGAGAGAATGAGAAAATGCTTTATTACATTGCATAATAATTAAGTTCACTTTGTTTCTAAGGCCCATGATAAAGGTCCTCTACCAAACGGAAGTCAAACGTATTATATGTAATGAATGGAATAGGAATAAAATGTATACATGCAATTCTTCACAAAAACAATGGAAAGCATTTAAAATTTATGAACTTAAAAGAAGTATGTGTTTTTTTCACTAGTCTGCAAGGTGTTACTTTTTTTTTTTTAATTGGGGAATTGGGGGAGGGGAACAGTGTTGGGGAATTGGGGAAAGAGATCAGCCAAGTTGTTGTTCTTCAATCTTAGTTGTGGAGGGCGCCAGTCGCCATCTGGCTGCCTATAGGCAGCTCATGGCCTCTAACCTTAAGGTGCTGTGCTTAGTCTTAGTTGCAGGTGGGTTGTAGCCACCATCACATGGGAGAGTTGAACCCTGCAGTCTCATTGTTAAGAGTACACACTCTATCCACTGAGCCATCTGGACGGCAGCTCAGCTCAAGGTGCGGAGTTCAGTCTTACTTGCGGGCAGGCATAGCCCACCATCGAACAGGCAGTCTTACTGTTAGGAACACGTGCTCTCACCAGCTGAGCCATCCTGCCACCTGTTGGCAGCTGAGCAGGAGCTCAGCTCGGGCGCAGTGTCACTGGCCCATGTGGGAATCGAACCGGCGGCCCTGCTGTTCAGGGCTTGCACTCTTACGCTAACTCTTAACCAACTGAGCCACTCAGCCAGCCTCAAGGTGTAACTCTTAATCATTGGCCGAAGCCTGTTCTTTTCTGTCAGATCACTGGGCTAATTTAAAATAACAAATCAATGTCAAATCTTTTCTTGGAACCCATAGCTTTAATTCCCATTAAACTTCCCTACTTGGGGTCTTAAAGTGTTTCCACTAACAGAAACCAAGGTTTGCATCTTCCGGAGGCTTTTCCTTCTCATTCTCAATTCTTACTTTTCCAGTGACAGTGTAATCTGTACTACTCTTTGGGATTTTTTTCAATTACATAGCAAGACTGGTTAAAATGCGTGCTTCGTTTATAAATCAGGACCTAATAGTTATTTTTGTGACATCTGTAGTTACAAATACTAATATACATACGTTGCATTTTCGTTGGAAAACACTGCACTGGGACCAGGATGGGTTGCTGGTTGGTGCGGGCCAGGTGAACGGACGGCAAAGGGACGCCGGCAAAGGGACGCCGACTCCGTGCGCCCTGGGGGGAGCGGCCCCTGGATCGTGAGGGGCAGGTGGCCAGAGATTGGGGCGAAAGTAAGAGAGAGTGAAGGGACAGCGCGGGGCGAAGATGCAGCAGCAGGGGGAGCAAGCAGGGAAGGGCGCGTGACGTCGGTCTAGGGCGGGACGTCCCGGTTCGGCCCGCAGGCCAAGAGGGCGCGGGCAGGGGGTGGGCGTGCCCTGGGGGTGTGGCCCATGAAAGGGCGTGGCGATGTGGGCGTGGCTGCGGAAGGGGCGGGGCGCTGAGCTCGCGGTCAACGCCAGAGCGCAGAGCACAGACGCGGGGAAGGCGCGGGGGGTCTTGGAAGGGGGCGGGGGCCTCAGTCAGCCCACTGACGCACACGCCGGGAGAGGCCCTCTCACCTGCTATGTCTTGACTACATGCGGTCCGGCCGTCCGAGCTGCCCACGAGAAACCTACCTCAGCCGCGTTTGTCCGCTGAGCTCTGCGTCCACACGGTCAGCGCGGAGGGGAGGAGGTCGGTGCCTACCAAGAGCCGGAGCCACCGCCCTCAGCCCGCGCAGGCGCAATGCAAGCAGGACGTCACCGGAGGAGGCCCCGCCCTGGGCCCGGCGCCACGCGCATGCGCTGTCCGTACGCGCTCCGCTGTCTGGCGAAGTGGAGCTACAGTTCTCCCGCGCAGGCGCGGGGCGCTCTGCCCTTCGTGAAAAGGCCCAGGCCTGGGGCGAGCACGGCGCGCAGGCGCGTTTCACTTGTTGCGCCGGCCGTTGCCCTAACGGGGACGCTGCGCCCCTGGGGTCCGACCGGGCCTGGAGACGGGGAGCGCGGCCCGGGGACCATCCTGGGCTGGGGTCAGAAATCCATTTGTGGGCGACAGAAATGGCTGCGTCTGGAGCAGGACCCCGTTTCTCGTGTTTTTCTTGTAGTAATTAGGTGAACCTCGGCGTCTGCGCTGTGAAGTGGGAGCCATTTGTCACTCTTTCCACTTGACACATGGAAGCAGAGGGATTACGCTTTATTTCATCAAGAGGGCGTTTGGGATGAGGTCAGTGCGCGTTACCGAGTGCTGCTCGCGGAGGGATGCGGGCGTCCAGCTCCCGGCCCGGGCAGCACGGGGGCTGCGGGCTGCGGGAGAGGAGATCAGGAAACCGGGAAGGGCTCGTTGCACAAGATGGAAAGAGCTGGTTGGACCACAGTGCGCGAGTATTTAATACACTGAACTCTACACTTACAAATGCTTAAGGTGGTAAGTTTTATGTTACGGGTATTTTGCCACAATACAAAAAAAAGATCATGAACACAAAGTACCAATATGAGGAATGAAAAAAGAATTGCGTATAGATTCCATAAATTTTTAAAAGACAATAAACATTACGAAACTTGACAAGTTAGATAAGTTACACAAATTGCTTGAAAAACACAAATTACCAAAATTGAAGAATATTTAGAAAATGTGCTTCTACATCTGTTAAAGGAATTCATTTCATAACTTAAAACCTTCTTACAAAGACTACTCCAGGCCTTTCACTAGTAAATGCTTCCCAACAAGGAGAAACTAATACCAATGTCACATAAATTCGTCCAGAAAATAGAGAAAAGTGAATCACTTGCTAACTGGCCCTATGCAGCCAGCATACACACTTAGAACGTTAGCAAAACATTCCAGCGATATACAGCATGACCAAGTGTGGTTTATAGTATATATTTATATGTATATTTAATCAACTAAATTTATTATAAAAAACCTTCCCACAAAGAAAATTCCAGCCTCAAATGATTTCACTGGTGAATTCCATCAAATGTACGAGGAAGAAATAACACCAATATTGAACAAAAAAACCTTTTTTTTAAAGATTTTATTGGGGAGTTGGGGGAGGAGAACAAAGTTGGGGAATCAGGGGAAAGGGAACAGACAAGTAGCTGTCCTTTTGTTCTTCAGTCTAGTTGTGGAGGACATTGCTTCACTGGCCCATGTTGGTATTATCATTGCGCTCTTCCCGGGCGAGGCAGT